AGCCTACAGTGGAAACAAAAAGCACTCAGGTGATTTTACAAACAGTTCTTTAGCTTTTCCTACCACCACTAGACCCCAAACGTGAGTGGAGTCAAGACAACACTGCAGTCCCAAAGTACAATTCTCCCCTATGAGGAGATGCATGTACTGTGACATCTCAAGTGTATCACTGCACTCTGAACATTAGTGCAGACTGTTGGGGGTTCAGAAAAAAGGCAACAGCAAGAAAAATTAGTTGTTGCCAAGAAGAATTGCTTTGTGTGCACAGAAAAGTATATGCAGTGTCTTACTATGACAATGGGCTGCAGGCATGTGAAGGATGCCAACACTAAGGAGAGAAGAGTAATTAGTTGAGAGGAACAAATGAACTTGTTTTTATGTTTGTATCAAGAGAAAACTCTGAAATCTTTGCCCATGAGATCACTCTTCCTAAACAAACACACACATGTTCCCAAGAGAAGATGCCCTTCAGAGATAAAAATCAAACTGTACAAATCAACATAAGCATGCAAGGGGGAATGATGTTGCACAGGACCAGAGCATGCAACAAATCCTTTCTCAGCACTGGGATTTCTTCTGTCTCTCTTTTTGAAGAAGTTTTATATTGAAGGAAACAAAAGAAAACCATGAAGCCTGTAGCACACATTTACAGTTGCTGTTTCAGCAGGCAAACCACCTTATTTTAATCTTGTGTATTACAAAAAAGGAAAAAAAGCTGTTTTCTCCATAATTCAGAGCCTATTAATAGATACAGAAAAGGGTTCTCATATCCATCTCTTACATGCTGTATCCTCTATCCTGTTCCAAGAGCTGGTTATTACAAGGTATTGGCCATAGCATAAAATAAGTAGCTAATAACATTTTACCAGATGAGACAAAGAATAAAATGAAATTTAAAAAAACACAGACTCCCACCACAAAACCCCAATAACCCTCTCTGTGGCAAAATGGAGTGCTTCCCCAGAAATAAGGGGGATGTAAATAGTTCCAGAGGACTTCCACCTATTTCTACATTTTTCATTATCACAATACCTGGGCAGTTTCTGTATTATTTTTCAAAACATTTAAGAGTCTTTGCACTCATGGGGTTTTTTTCATTTTCATTTTTCATTTATGAACAAGGTGTCCAAGGTCCCAGAAGGCACCAAGGGCAGCACCTTGTGCGTGAGCTGAACTTGCTTCTCTTCAATTCCCGGTAAAAAATACCAAAAAATTTTCCAAACACTCCTTCTATCTGACACTAGTGTAGGCTAGTGGAGATCATTCATATATGCTGCAAAGAGATCATGTATGTCTGCATGGCAGACACACCAAGGACAAAGAGCATCTGTTTTCTGACTACATACCTGAAGTGTAGGAAAGGACATTCCCCAGCTCCCCACCGGTATTTTGTTAACAATGCCCCCAATATCTGTTCCTGGTGGATGTCAGGCAGACAAGTATGTTTAAAAGTATGGGTCAGAAGTCCCTTACAGAGAAGTGCAGCACCAAAGAAAGGTGTTTTATCCAGAAATGATTCTTACTATCCCAGAGATTTAAAGTTAAGACTGATTACACTGCATTTCTATACAATAGGCTAGCTGGGGAGAAAGCAGCTACTTAGAATATGAAAGGTTCTGTGAGAAGGGGAAAGGGCCTTCACATCACTCCCAGAAAAAGGTGTTTGTCTATATAATTTTAGCTCTGTTGACTAAAGAGAAGGATGCTTGTAGCAAAGAGAGGTCCACCCTTCCAAACTGCACTTCTTTTTCCAGTCTCTGGATGAAATCAGCACAGCCTACCTGAGGCTCATTTGCTCACTAAGCAGTGACAAGTAATTTATCACACCAAAGGAAACTGCTTTACTTATTGTTCTGCTACTTTTGCTTGGTGCTTTGAGTGATCTGGAACATTAGAAACAGTGACATTTCTTATGAGAAGGCATAAAACTGCCTGAATCCAGAGAGTGCTCTACATGTTCCATGTGAAACATTTGTCTCTAGGTCTCTCTTTGGGTCACCTGCACCTATGGCACAGTAGATGAAGAGGTGTGGGGTGGGAGTGAACCTGCCCTGGTGTTGCTGAACACCATCAGAATGTCCTGCAAACAGAAGGAGTGCAGGCCTGACAACCTATTGGCTCTGGAGGAATTTAACACATCCCCCTGTTCTACTGCAATGAGGGAGGCCTGAAAGAAGTTATTATGTTCCACATAAACAAAAAAAACAACTGTAGGGATGGAACATAACAAAAACTCAGACCTAGAAAATCCTTGGACTTTGCAAATCTAAACCCAGCCTGAACTAGAAATTAGTTACTTTGCCTGACTTCTGAGGCAGGTGGGTTTAAGATCAAAGCTGCTCCTCAGACACATCTCTAAAAATAAACAAATAAACAAAAAAATAAATGAGAGGACTCCATGCAGGAACTGAGAAACCCTATATTAATACCTCTTAAAACCTCATGCCACGAAATCCCAAAGGAGCTGAGTTATTTCTATACACAGCATTGGCAAGACTACTGGAATATCATCTTCACTTCTGTTGTCTTCAGTTTAAGAAGGATGTCTGAAGTGGCAGTCAGTTCACAAAGGTGACATAAACAGAATTTGAAATCTGAAAGCTTAACAGGAAGACTGATAGCCTTAAGAACCTCTCCCTCCTCTACAGTTTAGTCAAGAAAAGGTTAAGAAGTGACAATTTAAAAGCACCTATATCAGGAGGAGTCTTTTGACAATATTTAGCAGGAAAGGCGATAATGAGATCTAATAGTTGGAAACTGAAGCTGACTAATTCAAACTATAAATAGGACACTTAAAAAAAAAAGCAAATAAGGAGATAATTAAGCATTAAAAGAACATCTAGAGACCTTATATCCTCCTCATCACTTAAGTTTTTTACACGAAGAGCAGAAATCTTTCTGCACATGCTGTAGCTCAGTTACTGGACCTAAACACAGCAGTTATTGCATGAAGTTTTGTAACAAAAGATACACCAGAGATTGTTTTAGAAATTCACAATGGCTGCTCCTGGCCTAGCTATGAAGCTATGCACTTACAGAGTGGTTTTAACAGTGTTTGGGTGGTCTGTTGATTGATAACAATGTTTTGTGTCAATACTGACCGCACACTGAGCTACAAAATACTACACTGCCATTGACTACAATTAGTAAGGCTATGTAAATGTGTTCATGTTGTTTATGACCTCAGACACTAACTTTATGGAAGGCTATTTCACAGATATTTCATGATTAATCATCTGTGCTTTTAGACTGCAACAAGTCAGACTGGTGTGGAAATACTAAAGGGAAAGAAGCCTTGCAAGTTTAAAAATGTGCCAACCAGAAGAACAGAAAAACCAAAACAAGAGTCAAGGTGAAAGGTTGGATCACATTCTAAAAATACTGTGAAAGAAGTCTTCACTGAGAGGAAGCTTCATAAATTCAACACTGCAGCATGCTGGCTGGATGGGAAGGAAGCAGGTACAGCATGTACCACCACTGTCAGCATCAGGAGTCTCTGCCTCCCTGCCTTATGCATCTGCCAGACACAGTGGGTAGGACCATAATAACTGGAAACCCAGCTGTGACCCTGGCTGTGCAGTGGACAGACAGTGGTTTCCACAGCAGGAGTAAACAGCACCAAGTAATGCAGTGAGTTAAAAACCCACAAGATCTGAGGATGAAAGCACCTGGGAAGAAACCCACAAGATCTGGGGAGTAACAGTATGGAAAAGAACTGCTGGAGAAAAACTGCTTCTGTGTTGGGTTTTTATTGTGCCTACTTTGGGCAAAGCATAGAAATGGCTGTGAGTGTGGCAGCCAAGCCCTCCCCGGGCGAGGGGAACAGCTGAGCAGCCACACACACGTGCAGCCAGGCCTGGGAGCTCATGGATGCTCAGGCAGGGACCAGACACAGTCAGAAACGCTGCAGCAGCAGCTCCCATTCCCACCAGGAAGCACAGAAAACTGGGCCACACAGGACATGTGACACAGCATGGGAACGAGTGACCTTGGGGCAGAGTAACTCATGGCCAGCAAGGGAGTGAGCACAGGATTAGAGAAATGCTTTAAACACAGTTTGCATCCAGAAAAGGAGTGTGTGTGGAAGACAGCTGAAGACAGGAATGACAGTGTCTTGTGACAAACATGGACTTCTCCCTCTTCCCCCCCATAAAGTCCCAAACCCATTTGTGAGAGGGCAAAGCACAAAGTTTTGTTTGCTCCTGTCCCTCTTGTTCATTGTTGCTTAAGTACCCCAGGAATGTAACGCCTGACAAAAGTTTACTTAAAACATCTTTATTTCCATCAGAACTGCTTCCCCTCCAAAAAGGAAAATTCCACTCTTCTTGTCCCCATCCTAATTCACCTCTCACTGACCAACAGTCCTTGGCCTTTCCTATTTGTCAAACATTAAATCATCTCAGCAAGGAAGTACCTGGCTCTGATCTTGCCCTCAGCTCCAGTTTTTGTTCCAATGTGAGTGATATGTCCTTCCTCCTTTGCAGCATCCTTTTGTGCACAGCTAAGCTCACTCCTCCTCCTTTCCCACTGCCTCTGGCAGCAATCATGCTCTACACTAGAGAGCCTGGGCATCACAAGTATTTGAGACCCCTCAGAACCTGAAAATAGCCACAGCACAAGCGCATTCCACTTGCCACAGCTGGTGAAACTCTGACCTTGTGATGCAGAATGTAACTGAGCAATTCCAATAAAGTGGAAGGAAACATAGCACTTCCTGTCAGAATAAACCCTCCATATTTGTGCCTGTCACAAAAAACAGGCCAAATGCCTGACAAGGAGTGCAGGAGATGGGAAGGGAGTTCAGCATGCTGTATTTAAGAGTAATTTTCTTCAGTTAAAAACAACAGCCAGGAAAAGCAAACCAGCTTATTAAAACAACAACAAAAAAGTATAAAGCCAGGGACTTCCCTGCTCTCTTCCATAAAACCAGAAGTAACTCCTCACCCTGCCCCACCCCCTCCTCAGTGCAAGAGCTTAAGCAGCCTGGTGCTGACACTCACGCAGGTGTGCTGGCAGTCTGACGGTGTCTTCCTCCATCCTGATGGCTTGAGGCACTGGGACATGTAGTGGTGACGAGGTGTAATTTGGTACCGGGCTCGCTGGAGGTGTGTACGAAATTCTTTCCTGCTGTTAAAAGAAAGTGGGGGGGGGGGGGAGGGAGAGAAAGAGAGAGGACAACGTGAACTTTGGAACAGAGGTATGAAACCATGGCAGAGGAGGTGGATGTGGGTGGAAGGAAGGAAGTGTGTGCCTGGTGATGTGCACTAGTGGTGCACCAGCTGCCCAGGGAGCTCCAGAGCACACACAGAACACTGCCCAGTGCTGAGGAGGGGCCAAGCACCTTTTAGGGTGGCAGGATTACTTTTCAAGAGAGCCATGAAATTTCCAAGGGCCTTCTCAGAAATTTGCCAAGGGAGGAACAGGGAAGTGACATGCAAGTGGGGAGACTCCGAGGGCTTTATGTCAGTGAAAATCTGACAGCAAGTCCACGATACATGCGTGAGTACCACTGAAGTGCCAAAACCACTTAATCTTACATTATCAAATCAGTCATGATCTGAACAAGCTAAGTGTTTAGCAAGTGTTTAGCACTCAACCCCTTCCTACCATTTTAAAGACATTAATCAGTAACTTTTGTCATTGCTGCAGAAAAACACATCAACAAAGACTACTCTATTTACCATCAAGTAATGTAGTACTCCTGTTTTTGCTGAACTAGTTACCATTACCTTCTTTGAAGTAGTTCAACTTGCAACCAAGTACAGTCAAATAGAGTTAAAGAGCAACTTGTGAATGTTGTATTAGTTTCATAACTGTCACAATTAGGTTCTTACTTAGGAAAATGCCTGACGAGAAATCTAAGACTGAAACCTCACGTTATCTGAAGGGAAAATTCTTCCATATTCTAAGCCTCCAATCATAGTACAAAATATACTCTTTGTAAATAAACATAGCCACAATTTTACAGAAACATAAAAAACTATTATTATATGCTTCCTGGAAGGTAATGCATGTTATTCTCCAGAATACTGACCCACCAGTGCAAGTATGGATTTACATCCCTGCACATACAGAAGCAGGAGGAGGTACTGTAATTTCTGAGCATTTGCAGGACAGTACAAATGCAGCCTCTCACCCTGACCTTGATCTCCGGCAAACGGAAAAGACAAATTTGGTGCTGGACCAAGAGAAGGTAATTGCTTCCATGACAAACCACAGCATTATCACAGCCATGAGACAGGAAAATAGACTGAGGCTGATAGAGGCACCTGCAGAATGTCATGTAAGCACCCTTGCCACCAAAGGGAAGGGGAGGTTTGCAAAAAACTCTACAGGGAGATTAGGTGGCATCTAAAAATAAAGGGAACACCTAGAAAGTCTTGCAGCCACCGCTTCAAAGCAAGCCCAGCTCCATCTTTTGCAAGGTGCTGTTTGCTGCTCAGGAGCTCAGGTAGAACCAGAAGTTTACCCTCAACATCAGGAGTCCCACCACAACACCCTATAACCACACTGCAGAGAAGACTGACAGCATGTGGAGAACACACTAATATTACAGGTTTAGACAGAGGGAGAAGACAAGCCTGTTTCACTCCACCATCACTTTGTTATTTTGGCAAGTATGGCCCCTGTGTCTGTCAGCTCAGTACTTTCTAAAGAGAAATTGTTCAATCTTATGTTCCTGTCTCCCAAAAACTCAGTTTCTTCCTACTCATCACTGGCCAGTCAAGAGCAACCCATTAGCTAACATGAATTCAGTTTTGTGCAGTTACCAAACAGGGATGTTCACTGTGACGCAATGAAAGACGCACCTGTGGAGCTACAAGGCATTATTTGATTTTTCAGCCTCCCCAACTCCCTCCCTGACCCAAACCAGCTGACTCTGTGCTTCCTGTTGCAGAGGTGTGGCTCTCTGTGCCCATCTGCACCTCTGCCCCTGGTGCACAGCACCCCTGGAGGGCAGGGAGACCTGGCAGTTCCCAGCATTTCCTGCTGCCATCCACAGCACAGATATCGAACCACACTGCAGCCGTTTGCTTTGTTCATAGAGACATTCATAAAAAAGGAACATTTCTGAAATACAGCCACACAGATGCTGCCTCTGTTAACAGGCACTAGGGGATAGGTGGGAGACCCAAAGTCCTCTTCCTCCCTCCTGATGAATGCAGGATACAGTCCACGCTCAGGTCATACTGCTTGCTCACTGAATCACCACTGCAAAGTCAAAGTGGCTTCAAGGGGTCTCCTCACTACCCAAGAGCAGGTGGAAAATGAAATTAAATCCAGAACCCATCCATTTCCCTCAAGACCCAGGAGGTGCTGTATCAAACTAAGGCATTATGCTTCCAGTATGTGCTGCCTTTACTGATCAATCTCCTAAAGGCATACCATAACTTGATTTATACCATGGCAGTTTCATTGAGGTTTACTGTTTTAAACAAATGCATTTGATTCATTGTTTCCTAGTATTCATAAGGACAGGACAGCCAAAACCAAGCAAGATATGGAAGTGCAGTTACTTTTCCCACACATCTTGGATATCCACAGTACTGTGTGAGTTACTACTTGCAGGAGGCATTTTACAAGGCACTAAGGGGAGTTAGCTATCCAATTCCTATTAGTACCTTTGAAATGCCCTCTCTTGCTAATCCTGCATTTTTCTGTCAGCACCTTTAGCCTAAATATCAAAGCATTAGGTAAGTCTTTCTTTTTAATAGACACACAGACAACCTGAGTTACAGCAAGAGCGCAGCTCAAATGAGCAAAGTAATTTCAGAGTTAAGCTGTCTTGAAAAAGGACAGCATGTGCCTCTCAAGGGCAATACATTTAACAACTGCATGCTGAAAGAGCTGCCCTTTAACTGTCCTGGACAGATTTCCAAAAGGTGTGGAATGGTAATGGCAAAGGGAGGTCAAGACACTGGGCTTGTGGAAAAAATGAGCTTAATCCCTGTGTGCAGCATGGGGCAGTAACGCGGCTGGCAGCAGAACTGCGAGCACCAGGCCAGTTCTACAACCTGGCCCTGCTCTGTGCTCAGCCACAGGCAGTGCTCAGCCTGCACAGTCCATGCACAAGGTCACATGTGCTCCTCCAGGCTTTTTGAGGCTTTCTAGAGTCACGTTTCCAGGAGGAACCTCCTGTGCTCACACCACTGCATCAATCTCCGCAACTCCAGGACTGCCCGGTGCTTCTCTCTGTGGAATCCACCAAACAAAAACGTGGCTGGTTAAAAACATGCTTCTAAGGTTATGCAACCAGATACTCTGCCACTAGGAATTTTTCTGAAAGCATTTCCTAACTAGTCAACTTTAATATTTCCCTTTGTATTAAGGCCAAGAACGGTAGGCTTGTTCAAGCCACAGCTTGGGAGGAAGGATAGGTAGTGCTGGTAGAACCTGCATGAACCTTGTGTGTTCCTGAGCAAACAGCCTTGCTGCAGCTTAATGTACTGGTAAAATAAACTAAATCAATACACATTTGATGTGGTCCTGTGAGATTTTTGGTGATGAGTGCTAAGAAAGAGCTTGGTACTACCACATTCCTTATTCACCACCTGCCAGGGGACTCTATAAACATCTAAACCTACAAGGGACCAAATGCTCAGCCCCAAAGAATTACCAGCTAAGAAATTTCAAAATAGCAACTCCTGAGCATTTTGCCAGTAGCCACAAAGAGGTGACTAAAACAGGTGGCATATTGCTTGCTGTCATCATTTTTGATCAGTTTCTTCAGCTCACAGGGAGTCAAGAAAGTTTCACCATGAAATTTCATGTTGCTTACAGTAATTGAAGAGCCACACAGAGTCAGTTTTTATGGAAGGCTCTCCCCCTGGGGTTTTCTCTGGTGGCTGGTGCTCCAAGAGGGCCACCTGGACAAGCAGCCAGGTCTGCTGACAGTAGGACATGCTTCCACCTGCCCATCTTAGCAGAGACAGGCTGAAACACATGGCTAAAAATCAAGAGAATCTATGGGTTCTTTCTCTTTACTAAATATTCAGCTGCTGAGAATGCCATAGATAAAGCCATCCTGTGTAAATCAAGTTATACTGACTGTGACTATGTAGTAGGCATGTATCTAACAGCCATCAAAGGACACACTAATTTCAGTTTGGAGAGCTAGGGTGCATCCTTTACTTACAAAAACTACTTGAACAGAATTTTCTCTGTCAGGAACACAAATAATTCATATTGCTAAAGTAAAAATATTAATAAAAAAATCAAAGCATCAAAATTAAATTGAAAATAAGTGTAACAGTTGAGGATGAGGGAGGCTGCAAGTAAAAATAGGTTCAGGCTTTTGATATAATTGCACCCTTCTAAAATCCAAAGCAACAGCCTTGCAATCTGATAGTCTTTTTGTCCCTTTACTAAGTTCACTCATATGGCAGGCACAAAGAATATACATGTTTTTGTAGAAATGAAAATAAAATATGTAAGAAAGTCTGCTAAGCAAGCTCCTGTGTCGTCCCAATGACAGGATTATTTCAGTAGCTGGATAGGTGGCATAGTAAAACTACTTTTTTTAATTGATAAAGCAAAGAAATGCAATACCTATGCAGCAGTTTTCAGGAAACCAAAACAGGCAATGTGGTCTGTAAATACCTTGTGTGGGACAGAAAAGGCAGCTGACCTTAATCACTGAATAAAAGCTTTCTCCTATACTGCACATAATGATACCACACAGGGAGAAAGGAATTGAGAGTGAAAGCTGACACACATTTGTGTCCCAGGGTGCTGGTGTACCTGTGCCATGAAATGGAAAGCCAGGCCAAGGGACCAGGAGCCAGGGGGAGCCTGTGAGGGTCTGGTTTCCCTACTGTGGATCCTCACAGGAGAAGGTGGCTCAAGCAAAGCAGAGGGGGGAAAAGGGCCTAAAAGATAAGGGTGATTGGAGGAAAATTATGTGTTTGCAGGAAAAATTCAGAAGGCCCTGAACATCTGAGCACCCAGGAGGACAATGACAGCAAATCAGCCACAGAGCAGAACAGGGAAAAACAGCCAGAGATTCAAGTAAATCAATCCTTAGGCAAGCAAGTGAGGAGAAGAGGAAAGGGAAGGAAGGCAGATGCACTGTTCGCCAGTGGTTTGTATGCAGTACCACAGCTGGATATGGAAGTCCAGAAGACCAC